AAAACAAGTTTAACAGTAAAAATAAAGATGGTGCGATAAAGTGAATATAAAAATTTGTTTGTTTGACTACTTAAAAAAACCCAACTCTAATCGAACACAAAAGAAAAGAGGAAGTAAAGCAACATAATCCTTACATCGAGCAGTCTGTAGGGGCTAAAGCAAATGTAAAATACATTTATTCAATTAAAATTCATGAGTGTCCTTATGGTTCCAGGGTAAAAATGCTGTTGCTGTGGTAATACAGGATACAAGCCCAGTTGTTTCTGCTTACCCATCTCGACCTTTACTGACAATCTTCACTTCAAAGTAGTAGATCCCACAGGCAGCAGGGATTGGGTGTGTGGCTCGCACTGATGCTGCATCCTTATGGTTCTTCCCGTGGCCTGCAAAACACAAGGACAATATGAAGAAAGTGTATTATTCATTAATTTGTTAACCATTCACTATGTTCATAATAGCCATTCATCTACGTTCCTTTGGGTAGATCTGACTGATTGTTATATGATTATTTTTACGTGTATAAAATATTTCAAAAGTCAAAAGCCTGACTTTTTTTCTGTTTTTAAAAGCATAAAGCATTCAAATCATTTCCCTGCATGTCCCTTAATTACTTTTACTTTTATTTAACTTCAGATGAAGGTTAGGGAATATCAGAGCCATGTGAAAGCTTTACATATATAAATATATTTATTTATATTATTTATATATAAATATATAAATAACACCAAAGTTTTCTGTTTTCCTTTAGCAATGACTTTTCCCTACTTCACATTTATGCACTAGTTTAGTTTGTCAAATAAATTCAGTTTGTTTGTTGTCTTTTCCATGGTAAATGGTAAATGGCCTGTACTGTACTGTACTGTATAGCGCTTTGGTCAAGTCAGCAGACTAGACCAAAGCGCTTTAAACTACATTTAGTCATTCACCCATTCACGCAAACAATCACACACTGATGATGGCAAACTACATTGAAGCAAGGCTGCTGTACAATGGCGCCACCGGGCCCTCTGACCACCATCAGCAGACAATGCGGATGAAGTGTCTTGCTCAAGGACACAACTACACTGAAACCCGGAGCCAGGGCTTGAACAAACCCTCTGATTTCAGGGCAAACTCCTACATCCGACGTCACCGTCACCCCATGGAACCGTGTGATTTAAAGCCTGAATTGGGAAAATGTTGGACTCCGTTTAACTAAGTTTAAATAATGACAGAATTTCCATGTGAAAAGAGCCAAGATAAATCAACAGGTCAGGCATCACAGGATACAGGAAATTGGTACCGGTACTTGTCAGTAACGGTCACATAAGTTAATCTTGAAAGTCATATCTGGGTATGAATCAATCTTACAGATGAATTATCCATACTTGTAAACATCTGAATAGATGAACTAAAATGAGAACAAAAACATAAAAACAGCCCTGTATATTGTGCCAGGACCAGTTTGCTTTAAACCTAATGGCCATTACCGTCTTTCTCTCTGTATTTAGATGGGAGTTTATAAAATCCCTGTTTCTGAGAGTGACTGCTACTGCGTCTGGTGGAGTGTTGTGTAAGAAAAATCTTGCTTCCACAGAACGCATGTTCATCCCTTTCCATAAAGTGCAATCACGCTCACCTGTCGTGAAAAACAACAAGTGGCTTTGAGTTCTAAGAAAATGCAAAGAGGCGGAAACCTTAAGCGAGACAGCTGGCTGTTAGCAGACACCTACAGGCAGCCTGCTGTGAGTCTGCCAGAGCCTCAGTAATCACTTAACAGCTTGAAGAGCATGAGAAATGTCTTACAAAAAATGAAAGCATACATTTTCATTTTAAAAGCAGAATACATATTTTGACTTTTATACTGCTGTTGCTTTTAACTCTGCTCTCACACTCAATGGAATTCTTGCTGATCAAAAATATTCCCTAAAAAAGTTTTTTTCTGCTCAGATGTGATGTCTCGAAATCCATGGAAAACTATTCCGAACAATAACAAAATACTATTAAATATCACCTGTCATCTAATGAACTAAACTGCAAGTTTCAGTTGCAGAGTTGGTTTTTAATGTATTTAACACTTCATGCTTAATAAACACCAAAAGAAGCTTTAAAAAAGTGCATCCTGGCCTTAAAAATATTAAATCCAGGTG